ACGTTTCCGTTACCCCGTACTACACGTTGGATGTTGCTTTCTTCAATGGCCCATGCGCTTTCGTGCTCTTTCCGGCTTCGTGGTTCCTGCTCACCTGTGACCCACGCTGCTCAGCGTTTATGCGCTCTCTCTTGTGGGTTCATGCTCTTTGGTACGGCCTTTTCGTAAATGCTAACTTTTCTCCATTCTCAAACGCTTACGTGGGTTGTACTGGCTTCGTGGTAGATACTATTTCGTGGCCGTTGGCCTTCCATCGCCGGTGCTCTAGCCGAAGTGTGCTATTCCGTGGCTTATTGTCTCCATGCAGTCGTGTTGTTCCGTGGACCGCGGTATCACGCTATCGTGCAATCACGGTGTGGTAATGCTGTCTATGGTATTGGGCTCACGCTGTGTATCTGCGTTGTCCGTGTTATCGTGTTCTACAATGGCATCGTGCTTCACAGTGTGCAGTCGTGGTCACTCCAAGCGCCCACCTCCCCGTTTATTTCGTGGCTGGTCCGCCGTCCGTGCAATCGAGTTCTAATGTAATACTGTCCTCCGTGGCTCGGTTAAGCTCAGGTTCAACACTGATATCGTTCTCCGCGGCTCTGTGATTTTCCGTGTATAGCTCCGCGACTGCATTCTCCCATGGCTTAGTGACACAGTCCATGCTATCGTGCTAACTTGTGGTGTCGCGGTTGGTCTGTCGTCCAAGCTTTCGTTATCTACAGTAGTATCGCGCTCACCAGTGAGCTCCTGTTCTACCCTGATATCGTGTTTCAATACTCGACAACCTCCCATTAATGGTCTTCCGCGGCTTCATGCTTGGTCGGTCGACTGTGCTCCGTGTTCAACCGTGGTGCTATGGGAGAATTACTGTCCGTGCACTCTTACAGTTACGTGATCTACAGTGGCTTCGAACGTGCGTGCTCTTCCGTATCCGTACGTTTCAGCATGCTGGGGTGTCTATGTATTTATTTCCCTTCCGTGGCCTGTACGCTCCCGTCATATTCTTGTTCTTTTGTCCTTTTCATGGCTGCGTGCTCTACCGTCTTTCACGCTACGCATAAAACTTCGTGGTTTGCATCGGCTAAGACTTCTATCATCGTCCATGGAGCTCCGTGCTTCGTGTTGCTCTTCTATCCCATCGTCTACATAGTGTGCGTCGGTGTTCTTTCGTGTTTCGTGTTCTTGCCGAGTCACGTGCCTCCGCGCTAACTTTAACACAAATGATTTTTTGTTTGATTTACGTAGGATTTTTTATTGGAAAGCTCACATAATATCTTAAGGTCGCACACTACGCGCGCAAATACAAAGGAAGATGATTCTTTCTCCCGGAGGCAGTGAGGGGTGAAGGGGTGTAAGCCACAATAGGCATATATTAAAGTTACACATTATTACTCATAGTAATATAGTTACTATGTATTATCAAACGCTGATATAATTATTATGTGTACTACTACTACAAATAACAGGAAGCAAAAATATTAAATGTCTTGATAATAGTACTACTCAAAACACTATTGTAAGCTTAATTATTAGAAAAGTACTACGAAGCCTAAAACATCATTCTAAATCCAACAAGTACTAAAGTTTCGATTGAGGCCGAAATCTAAGTCACCAAAGCCTACATATATTTTCTACAGCTCCTACGACAATATGGTACGTGTGTGCTCATCGGCACCTTTTATTAATGCTAACTAACGCGTACACAGGCAGCGCCCATTGTGTGGCCTTACAGACCGCAGGTGAAAATGAGAGCAAAATGAAATTTCAACGGTGCGGTTAAGTACGATGTGTAGTCCACATACAGTGTGTACAGAACACAATGCCGAATTTAGCTAATAGGGGTCGCCTTCGCTGCGCTCAACAGCTTTTTCAGCGAATCGAAGCCGCCTTCGCTGCGCTAGGCAGCCAGTAGAATGGCGCGTATTAGCATAAGTTTTATTAACCCTAGCCCGCGACAGACTGACGGACAGGCACCAGACTCCACTAGAGGGGTAAGACTAGCCGGCCGCCGCCGCTACGCGGCGGAGTGGCATTGTTTGTTAGAGATGAGGTTTCCGCAGCTTTACGTACTTCGTGTGTTGTGTGCTTTCAGTCGGATCTTGTACCTCAAGGTTTCCGCCATTCGTGCGATGAAGTGTCATGTACTTAAACACTTACCATTCCGTAGTCTCATGTGGCGGTTTACGGTATCATGGTTTCGTACGCTTCCGTTGCTCGGTAGTACGGGTTGGCCTCTATGTTCTTCCGTGGATCATGCCCTTTTCCGTTAAAGCGCTCTCTCGTTTGAGTTCATGCTCTTCAGACGTATGACCTGCTTTCGCGGCTGCTAACTATCCTCTATTCTCAAACGTTTACATGGGTCTCACTGGCTTTGTGGTACAAAGTATTTCGTGGCCATTGGCCTCCCATCGCCGGTACTCTAGCCGGAGGGTGCTATTCCGTGGTTAGTGCCTTCACGCGGTTATGTTGCTCCGTCGCTCGTGTATCGTGCGCTCCTGGTGAGGCTCCATCAACCGCCTTATCACGCTATCGTGCAATCGCGGTGTGATTTTGCTGTCTATAGTATTGTGCTCGCGTAGTGCACCTGCATCGCCCGTGCTATCGTGTTCTACAATGGGATCGTGCTCCACGGTATGAAATTGTGGCCACCCCAAGCACCCCCGTGAATTTTGTGGCTGGTCCGCCGTCCGTGCAATCGGGTTTCAATGTACTACTGTCCTCCGTGGCTCGGGAAGTTCAGCTTCCACACTGGTATCGTGCTCCGTGGATCGATGATCTCCCGTCTATAGCTCCTGTGCCTATGGCTTAGTGACACAGTCCATGCTATCGTGCGAACTTGTGGTGTCGCGGTTGGTCTTTCGTCAATGCGAGCGTTAGCTACCGTAGTATCGTGCTGTGAGACTCGGTGAGCTCCGGTTCTACCCTAATATCGTGCTCCAATGCTCGGTAACCTTCCGTTTAAGATCTACCGCGGCTTCATGTTTGGTCAGTCGACAGTGTTCCGTACTAAACCGTGGAAATATGGGAGAACTACTGTCCGTGCACTCTTACCGCTACGTGCTCTACCGTGGCCTCAAACGTGCATGCTCTTCCGTAGTCTGTCTTGTCAGCAGGCTGGGGTGTCTATATACTAGTTCCCTGCTTCATGTTCTTGTCCATCTATACTCTTCATGGCTGTGTGCTCTTTCATCTTTCACGCTACTTATAACACTTCGTAGTTTGCATCGGCTAAGACTTCTATCATCGTCCATGGAGCTCCGTGCTTCGTGTTGCTCTTCTATCCCATCGTGTACATAGTGTGGGTCGGTGTTCCTTCGTGTTTCGTGTTCTTGCTTAGTCACGCACCTCCGCGCTAACTTAATCACAAACGCTGTTTCCATTTTGTTTGATGCACGCAGCATATATTGTTGGAAAGTTTACACAATATCTTAAGGTCGTACACTACGCGCGCAAATACAAAGGAATATGATACTTTTTCTCGAGGGCAGTGTGGGGTGCAGGGGTGTAAGCCACAAAAGGCATATATTAAAGTTTTCACATTATTACTCATAGTCATACAATTGGTATGTATTATCAACCGCTGATATAATTATTATGTGTACTACTACTACACATAACATAAAGCAAAAATATGAAATGTCTTGATAATAGTACTACTCAAAACAGTATTGTAAGTTTAATTTTTAGAAAAGTACTACGAAGCCTAAAACATCATTCTTAACCAATAAGTACTAAAGTTTCGATTGAGGCCGAAATATAAGTCGCCAAAGCCTATAATTTTTTAACAGCACCTACGACGATCGAGTTCGTGTGTGCTCATCGGCGCCTTCTACTAATGCTAGCTAACGCGCACATAGGCAGCGCCCTTTATGTGGTCTTGCAAACCGCAGGCGGTCTCCTGTTAGGTACGATGTGTTGTCCACATACAGTGTGGACAAAACACAATGTTGATTTTAGCCAATGGGGGCCGCCTTTGCTGCGCTCGGCAGCTTTTTAGCGAATCGAGGCCGCCTTCGCTGCGCTCGGCAGCCAGTAGATTAGCGTGAGTTTTATTAGCCCTAGCCCGTTACGGACGTTACAGACTCAACACACCCAATACTAGTGGGCCACTATAGGGGTAAGCTAGTGGGCCACTAGAGGGGTAAGATAGGACGATTGGCTGTACCTTCTGCTTCACTAAATGGTAACTTCAGTAAATGGGGTGGTTGCGGCTACAGTACTGCTGTTAATGTTACACTCTGCAAAAACATATGGATTCTTCTGAAAGGCGATCTGTGAATAATCGTCTCCCTAGATTACCTCCAAATCCCTAAAATCAGATAAAGCTGGTTCACACATAGTATATATATGCAGATTTGCGCAAGGCCATCGTTTAGCTTTAATAATATTTACTATTTATAATAACGCAGGTTATTTTTTTATTCGAGTGCTATAACTGAGGGTTTGCTTCCAATGCTGCGAGGTACTTACTTGCTAGTCTGCTCGTATTATGCAAGTGCAGTGTAGTGTTACTGATCAGTAGCAATTTGTACAAATATAGTACCGTGATTCAGTGAACGTTGTGCAGTTGTGAATTGACTAGCCGAGCGTCGCCGCTACGCGGCGGGTAAAAATGAATGTCGTTCCTTGTGTTTGCCTCCGTTCCGCTCGCCATGGCCTCGCTTCAATACTCGTGCAGTAGGTTGGCAGATTGGGGCCCAAAAGGCCCGCAGGGTTGCAGAAGGTGCCGATTTGCAGCCTGTGGAAATATTTAAATAATTTTATCCAATGATTTGTCCGGAAAAGCGTTAACAGGCACGACAATTTAGTGTGACGGACAGACAGGTTGCTGCATTTGATAAGATGAAGTGCACGCTGACGTTTTTTTACTTGATGACGGCTGTAATTCAATGTTACCGGTATTCGTTAATAAGCACGACTTCTAACCAACGAAGTTTTGGTACGAGAAGTAGTCTTCATTGCGCGATTTCCCATCTCTCTCTCGAGCAGTTCACTCCGTTTTTGGAACAAGCATGCGACTCTCCTCTGCCTTGCTCTTAGCTTCCGCAGCCATTCTGGTCAACAATGGCAATACATTGCTCGCTGCTGGCAAGATGACCAACTCGAAAATACCCGATACTGCTATGCACTATTACACTGAAAGCGCAAGAGCTGAGGGGGCATCTCTCCGTGCACTTGAAGAGGTTGTCACCGACAAGGCTAAAGAGGAGAGAGGTTTCTTCGGCTCGAGCTCGAAGCTTCCGGCTGGCGTAAGCAAGGAGGCTGCCAAAGAAATGAACACGAAGTGGCTGAACGATTCCCAGCTGTATGACGACATCCTCGTGAACACCGAGAAGTACTATAACGCGCTTAGCGTCTGGAAGAAATTGGGATTATCAGAAGCTGAAGTCTTGAGTGCCATGAAGAAGCTTAAGAAAGATAAGAGCCTTATCTCATACATCAGAAACGGCTATAAAAACTTTCTTAAAAATGTAAAGGTGCGTTAGATTGAACTTGCTGACGACCATCAAGACAGGAGCGCAAGACACACATATCAAAGTTTGTAGTACTGTAGTAGTATTTCAAAACAAGATACCTCGTGCCAGTATTCCCTAGACTACTATTATTGTTCAGACGTGTTTCTTCTTCATGTCCTCATAGCAGTGGCGGTGGTCCGGATCCAGGGCGATGGCGCGGTCATAGAGTTCCACACTGGGTTTCTTCGCTTCCTCCCACCCACTCACCTTGGTAATTACACTAAGATGAAACTGCAGATCGGCAAGCATGACGACAACCCACTTGGCTTCCGATATCACCTCCAACAACTCGTTTAGCCATTGCACTTGGCTCTTCAGGAACCCACTTGCGTCCTCGGCAGACGACTCGACCAGCTCCACCATGGACGTCAGCAACCAGCGGTAATAGAACCAGGCACTCTGGTCGTCTGGCTCCGTGAATACCGCTTGCTGGACCAGTCCGATCTCATCAAATAACACGTCGGCAGATAACGGTTCTGGCAGGGTAATGCTATGGTGGTGTAGAGCCGAGTAGTTAGAGAAATTCTGCTCGATTTTCTGCGTGGTGAAGGCCAGCCGCTCGTGTTGACACATGGCGACGGTAGTTACAACTGTAGAAATTGCGTTCGTCTAGTTAAAAACAGAGTTTAGTAAAGTAAAACGTTAAAACAACTTGATTTTACCGAGATTCAGCAGCTTGTCGCACGTCGCCCAGTCCTCGGTCAATGATCCATTGGCGCTGAAACCACGCAGACTACGGCTTGGGTTGCAGTGCGTCCTGCAACGTTTTTATAGTGTTAATATCCGCGTTTAAACGTAAAGTACGCTGAAAATCGAATGTACCAGCGTTAGTCTGAGCTCCGTTTTGGCCATAGTCAACATTTCGGCCTCGGGGTTCTCGGCTTTTTGAGCTAGCGTGTCAATGGCTTGGCGGCGGTAGCTCGAGACCACGTGGAACTCGGGGTTGAGTAGCAATAGGTGGCTGGTCAGTGGCAGGACGCTCGGCTCGTAGAGCTGTTGGCGCTTCATGTCTAGGACTTTACCCGCCACCTCGTGGTACATGCGCACCTTGGAGAGCTCCTCCTGGTGCTGGGCATCCGTCTTGTGCTGCTCCTTCTCGCGCTCCACGCTCTTAATGCGTCCATGCATGGCTTCTTGATGTTTTGTCAAAATACGGGTTACTTGTTTTTTGGGTGAAGGCCTTTGGATATTATTGTCACTTTCGAAATGACAAAAAACGGGCCATGTTTCGAATACTCAAGATGATGTGACATCGAGGTCTTACAGAAAATGAGCTTTTAGCGGGTTCTACCAATTATTTGCGACCATCTTTAGCACTAAGAGCAGAAAGAGCTCTTGCACCGCGCAATGAACTTGGACCCAAAGCTTGCGCCTGTCAGCATGCTACGCGATAGGCGCAAGTTCTAAGTCCAATGGCAAGAAGCGAGCAACGTTCATACAAATCTTAGATTTGAAATCTACGTGTGAGTCTTGGTCAAGATATATTTGTCGCCAATGTTACCTTCTCCACCAATCACAACTCTTGAAAGCTAAAATCATCTTGAAAAACAGCAAAAATGACTTCTATCAACGCTCGGCGTGTACATCGCATATTTATTGTTGTAACTGTCCACTTCTCGTAGTAGTGCGGCAACAGTGGACGAGTCTGCGTTGCCACGTATACTATGTATTAGAGTATGGATCGGTTCCACTAGCTAACGGGTCCACCAAATGAGAAAAGGAAAAGTGATTAAATTTGTTTAGCTAGCTTTCGTTCTCTCTCTCTGCAACTAAACTTGGGCACTGTCCGTTAACTTGCAAAGGCCCGCTACTCCCTGCTTCTCAATCCTTCTTGGTCTCACGATGTGGGGGTTTCAACTTGACCTTCAACCTCCTTGGTCGTCTGGTCTCAATGTGCATCCTAACACGCCTCCCTCGAAGAGCAAGCTCCGCATACCTCTGATGCACTTCTTGCGTGTCACTTCCTTACTGTGCATTATCATTACCCATGGGTTGCAGTAGTTTCTGCAGTCGTTGCTTGTCCAAAGGCTTCGTGAACATGTCGTTTGCAGGATTCACGCTCCCGTCCACCTTGTGCAGCTCGATCACAATCTTAGACACTTGCTCTTGCACGTAGTGCCAGCGCAATTCGATGTGTCTAGTTCGCCGACTATATGTAGGGTTTGTTGCTAGTACATGGGCGACTTGATTGTCGATCACAATCTTCAGCTTCACAGCTTTTGATCTCAGGATCTCTTGCAAAGTGTTACTCTCAGCCTTAGTTTTCATCGCTGCCTCACAAGCTGCCACGTACTCAGCTTCTGCTGTTGAGAGTGCCACGATTGTCTGACGTCTTGACATCCAAGACATAGGCCACCTGAAAATGTAAACACCAGTCCACTCGTCCTCTTCCTAGATGAGGGGTCATTGGCTCAATCGCTCTCACAGTAGCCATCGAGAACTACCACCTCAGGTGTCTCCTTAGGTCGGCTGTACGTAACGCCTACATTCACGGTTCCAGCTAAGTACCGTAGTACTCGTTTTACTGCACCAACACGCTTCACAGATGGCTTCGAAACGAATCGGCCCAGCTGTCCAACTGCAAATGAAGTCGGGTCGCGTTCCAGTGGCGAGGTACATTAACATTCCTATGGCCTGTCGGTAAGCGAAGCTCGTGTCCGATTCCTCCGCTTCCTTAAGTGGAACTAATCGTGCATTTGTTTCCATCGGATCTCGTACAGCATGTGCGTTCTGGTATCCAAACGTCTCCAACATCTCACGAACGGACTTGCTCTGCCTAATCGTAACAGAATCGAAGGTTTGTTCTACCTCAACACCTAGGGGGGACGTGAGCAAGACTTGATCTTTAATCTGATATATGTTTTATCAAGCGCTTTGAACGGCTCACACTTCTTTGACTCGTCGTCCGTGGCGGCCAAGATGTCGTCTACGTACACAAGCTCCAGTATGATACTATCTTCAATCAAGTTGTTGTAGAGACACGGCTCCGTCAGGGAGCGCTAATAACCATTCTCCAGTAACCATCGGTTTAGCTCTGAGTTCCATTCTCTGCCCGACTGCTTCAAACTGTACAAAGCTTTCAACACCACATACATATGACCGTCAAGCTCGCAAGGGAATCCATCAATTGGCCTTACGTATTGCCGCATCCTCAGCAGTGCGTTCAAGTAGGCCATGTTGATATCACCCCCGTATAGTTTCAGATGTAACAGAGTTGTCAGCGCTACCATCAACCGGAAAGACGACATATGTGCAACAGGGGCGAAAGTCTCCACAAAGTCGATGCCCGATCTTTGATGATTTCACATAGCTATTATACGTGACTTGAAGCGGATCACATATCCTTGGTGGTCTGATTTCACTGCGTACACCCACCGCGTGCTGATAGGCTTTGCGTCTTTTGGAACGGCTTCCTTGGGAATCTCTCCGACCATTTCTTTCAGCTCTGCTTCACGCCATAAGTCCCGAAATTCCGGTCTCATGCCTTCACGATGGTTTCGTGGTATCCGCAACGTGCAACGTAAAATGTGTTATCCAGTCCCTTGGTCCCTTGGCTGTACATTCAATGTGCGATCTATAGGTTGGCACTGGGATTGTTACTCACATAAAAGCGTGCTATTTTCCGACCGTCCACGGAGTCATGAAAGCGCTTGAATACGCAGATGTCAGGGAATTACAAAGGGAGCTTAGTTAGTAGATGTAAACACATACTTTTTTTTTCTATAGCGGCTTACAAAGCACTAAATGATGTCGCATTGACCTGGGCATCGGGGTTTAACCTGATATAATGCGAGATTGGTCCGCTTTCGTTCCTGTATTAATTTTAGATCATAGAAAGTCGCTAATCATGTATCATGCCCCCTCGCCCCCCTTTTAAAAAAGTCTTCAGTCGTCATAAAAATACGTTTTATCATTTTGTAGTCTTGCCACGATTTGTTTTGCTATCTGAGTGCTATTGAGGCAAGCGGTCCTGGTTCAAAACGTTAGAAGCCAGCACTGCAATTGCTTATGACTGCGACGTGCCCTTTTGATAGCAAAGGGATTGATAAGTGATGTCATAGAGCGAGCACCAGTACGCTAGAGTAGATGTATCATGTAGACGAGTAGGATCCTACCCGCAAGAAGTCACCACCGCCACGGCAAAGTAGTAAAGAGTGATAGGTCACCACTCGAGCTTCATATAATATAAGATGAAGGTGAATACTGTATTTAATAAGCCAACATCAGGAGGTTTATCCAGATGTTTGATAGTGCGAGACAAGCGTCCCATTTTTTTCTAAGACTGGTATACCCTTTCGTAATCGTTAGCAGTGCTTAAATGAGATCGTGACGCTTGTCTCGTACTTTGCGGCAGGGTTGAGTGAAAACCAAGCTGTCTAGCAAATATTCCAATCAAATCACATGGAATTGCTGCTTGTAGAGACCACCAATCACGACCAAATAAAGGTCATTTTCTAGACGTAACTACTGGCATCTCGCATGCGTCTACACCACCCCGTATCGTTCCTTGCTGAAACGGCTCGATCAAGGTCACATCAACCGTCTAGAAAATCTACGCTGACAAGGGATACCCCAGTATTGGCCACCAACTATAAACATCATGCTATACGAGAGATGATGTGGTATATCAGTAAAAACAACATAATGGGCACAACTAGCGGGAAATAAATGATAGCAACAAACCATAATACACCGTGAATGAATGTTCCATGCTGCTCCAAGAAGCCTGCGTCAGGCACCAGATCACTGACCACACAGGTTTCCTAGAATATGTTATAAAAATCAACGCCAAATTCATTTAGTTTTTATGATGACCATTTAGCGTAATCAGGATAGGTCTTTATAAATTACCTGCTTTATCCATTTGTGCACGGAATGGTAGTTCTCGTTGGGTATTTAAATATAAGTAGTGGCTGTATTCTCTACAAATTGTAGTTTACCCAGCTGACTTCTGTATTGTCAAACTGACGGTATGCCTGGAAGTACGCTTCACTTGAATAGTTATAAAACTCATACAGTAATTATAACGGGGTACGTAGCCCTAAGTGTACCCCTAGTTACATGAAGTGTGACACGTCATACTTCGGGATGTTTGGTACAAGGTACCAAGGTCGCCCAAAGCCAACCATTGGTTTTTCTATAGGTGACTTATAGTTTGTATTTAGCTCAAGCTTTATATACATATAAATATACTCAGTTTACAATCTACCTTAATTTGGTCACTCCTCTCCCTTTACGCAAAAGGGGACCCGTGAACTGCCGTTCACTGAGAGTTAGTATACTTTCGGAAGCCAATTTCCTCTAGCGCAAGGTGATGTGTGACCCCGTCACATTTTGTAGCACTCGTAGTCAATTCACACCACCGCGAGTAGACTACCTGAACCTCTCCAACGTTCGTTGCCATGGATAGGAACGATTTCTCCCATATGAACGACTCACAGCTCGAATCAATTCAGAAGAAGGCAGGCATCTTCGGGATGGAGGCCCTGCAGAGCCTGGTGGTGTCAACACCGGCCGAGCAACTCGAGCGCGCCAATGCGTTTGACGCTAACGAGCAGGGGCTCATCGCGCATGTGCGGGAGAACCTGCAGGCTCCGGCGGTGGAAGCAAATCCGCCACACCCGAAGCCAATACGGCTGAAGGTTAGACCGTATGATGGGAAGGAAGGCGAGAGCCTTCAGTTGGGTCCGAGCTGTAGAGCTCGCGATGGACGCGGCTCTGATCTTGACCGAGCAACTTTGTGCTGCTTTCGCACTCTCCAACCTTAGCAGTCATGCTAAGAGTTGGGTCTACACGCGGGAGGCCACATTCCCTGGATGTTTCACATCCTGGGCTCAGCTATGCTAACAGCTCACGTTCCTTCCGGCGAGCTACGAGTACCGCCAGCGCTCGCCCTTCCTCTCGTGCAACCAAGGGAGGCGTGAGCTGCACGAGTACGTCCAGGAGATATGGGAGCTCACGGCGTCCCTAGTGGGAAACCCACTAAACGAACACATTAAGATGACTGTGTTCATTGACGGCCTTCGAGTGGGCCCAGCGCGCACTCAGCTGTTCCGGGCCAGTCAAGCACCCTTGAAGAGGCGATGCAAGTGGCTATTCAGGAAGAATACAGCCATCGTCAGGCGCGT